GAACAAAGCCATGTGGTAAAGCTGCCACTTAAAGCTAGAAAGCCCTTATTGTTAGGAGCACGATCTTCTGGAGAAGTTGTGGGATGGTTAATGGACACCTTCCCTCCTCTTTGTGACTCTCTTCATCCTCACTACAATCTGGTCCATCCCTCTCCACTTTGCACAGTGTTGCTTGAGTCCATTCTCTCTCCTCAGGATGGATTTATCAACCAGTAGACAGACGTTAATGTGTTAACCCCATTCAGTTTCCCCCAGGCCTCCACCAAGCAATGAGTGACCCCAAGTGAGTCAGAAGAAAGGAAAAGGATGACTGGGAAGCCTAGAAACCACTGACTTCCAAGAACATGAATGTTTGTGTGGGGCCAATCTGTATGCAGCCTGGGAGTTGTGTCTGTGACTGGCAGGGTGGGTTGGAAAAAGGGAGGGAGGACCACTGGGTGCGAAGGACTAGGGGTGCACGTTAGTAGTGTCAGATTCTATTATTGAGAAGTCTCTTTTAGGGTGCAAATATATCTCAAGAAATTTGACTCTCTTCAGTTGAGTAAGCTTAAAGAGAATTAAACTGTGACAAAGACATCAATTATCTAGATAAAGCATAATAGATGCATAAAACTACACATTGTTTCAGAGGCTCAGATATACCCTAACATTACTGAAAGCCCTCCCATGGTGATTATAAAATTAAATCTCTTACTTACTTTTCAGTTTGAAAAATAAACTTAGAATTAAAGTCACTGTGACATTAGCAGTGAGGGTTGATGGCAGGTCCTCAAAGGCTTATTCCATCAGTTCTATGAATGGTGGTCTCATCTTCTGTGTGCTTTGACATCTAAGGAATTCTGAAGACTATTCTTTGACACTGAAGTGCTCTCACCACACCTGAAATTCAGCAGGAGTCGGGGTGGGGGGAGTAGACACCCAGACCCTTTTGTCTCCAAGGCAGCTAACAAGCCCCAGGTTCCATGCAGAGTCAAGACAATCTGGGGCTTCACCTGTTGTGACCATGCACTGGCTAGTCAACTCTGTCTTCACATTCTCTTCCCTCAAGGAATTGCTGCCTCCTAGTTCTTCAGGGGAAAACACACACACACACACACACACACACACACACACACACACACACACACACTTCTCTCACTCGCTGATTTATGGAAGTCATTTTTCTGATATGTCAAGCAGTTTTGATCAAATGATTAGAAAAGAAAACATTAAGTTGCTTTACCTATCAGTAAAAGAATTATGCACACTATAAACCCAAAATGTTTCTTTAGAAAAATTATTTTGTAATCCCAACACTTGAGAGGTTGAGTCCCTAGGATTGCCATGAATTTGAAGCCAGCATGGGCTTCATACTAAGTACCAGGCCAGCCTGGGTTACAGAGTAAAGCCCTGTCTCCAGAAAGAAAGAAAGTTTTAAAGTGCAAATGCCTTAGATGGAGCTCCTCTGGAATATTGAAGAAAGAATACTGGTGTGCCCGGAGTCCATTGGAAATTAAATTTGTGTGTAGAGATGCAGGGTACCAAAGTAGCCCTAGGTGGTATGGGAACCATTGGGATCTTTGAGTTGAGGGAATGACATATTGTAGGGTATATATATATATATATATATATACATATGCACCACAGTGTACATGTGGAGGGTCAAAGAACAACTTTCAGGAACCATTTCTTCCTCTCTCTCTCTCTCTCTCTCTCTCTCTCTCTCTCTCTCTCTCTCTCTCTCTCTGTGTGTGTGTGTGTGTGTGTGTGTGTGTGTGTGTGTGTGGTGAAAGGACAGAAGCAGAGAAATTGCTTAGGAAGGCTCTCCAGACATCCGAGTGAGAGTTCTTGGTGATCTCAAACTAAGAGCACATAGTGATGAAGTTTGAGTGAGAACATGATTCCAATGGCTGTGCAGGGTGTTTAAACTGTTCCCGGGAGATGAACAGCCAGAGTCAACGTTGGAATCTGCTGCGGAACATCAAGGATGAGGCAGAGAGGTGGGGATTTCGTGGGCAGGAGGAGGGACCATGTGCTGCCATGCCTGTAGCTCGGGAACTGGTCAGTGGCCAGGGCTACATGAATGAGGGGAAGCACTGAGAACTGGGAAAGAGTGGAGGCGCAGCCTTCGTGGCAGTTCTTCAGCCGCCTTCCGCCTGCTTAGCAGGTGGTGATTTATATGTGCAACAGTTTAGAGGGAGAAAGATTCAGGATTGTGGCCATGACGGTGACAGTGGGGTGAAAAGCTCAAGTGCTCACACAGATATTCCAGGTTCTGGGATGATCCTCAATAAGAGCACTCCCCACTGAAGTCACCTTCGCAAGGTGCTGAGCACAGCATAGTGACCCACAGATGAGGGACACTGAGAACAAGAAGTCGAAAGCCAAGTGAAACCAATATGAACCCAGGAGTGTCATCTGCATGACCGGTATAAGGGTGGGGGCAGGCAATTCTCAAGCCCGTCCACACCTGCTGGGCAGCCAGAGGGAGTGGGCAAAGGAAATGCGATCTTTGAGCTAGAACTGGGGACAGTTTTATTTCACTGGATCATCTTTATCACAGCCCTATGAAAACTGTATGCTCACTTTCTGCCAGGATGGTTGGAGTACAGGTTTTCAGAGAATCACAACAGACAGTTGTACTGACTGGGTAGTATTTAATATGATCAGGTCTTAAATAGGAAGCCATGAACACAAACATTCAAAACCAAATACATAATAAATAATCATTAAGTTATAAAGTACATCATTCATATTAAGACTAAACTCTCAGGTGTAACTGTAAATAAAACAGAGCAATAATGTAGATTAATAATGCTTTGAATTTATTCACAAGTGCAAAGAAGACACTTTCAGCTAAAATACTAACCATCATAACTAATTTCCTCTGAACTCTCATACCTACATGACCTTCCTTCCCTCTTTCCTTCCTTCTTTCCTTATTGAGCAACTGAATATCACATTTGGGGTGAAATTTAACTCAGAAGTGTGGTCAGGTGTTCCTGTAAGAGTAACCAGGACATTAACACTTAGACGTACAAAAGTCAGAAAATAAAAAATGCAAAATAGACTAAGGAAAGCCCAGCACCCCTGTTCTACAGGTAAGGAAATGAAAATCAAAACAGCTTAAGTGGCCACATTTCACTGCCAACAGTATGTCAGGTCTACCGTGTTATCATCCACAGATGAACAATGATGCCCACAGGTTTTTTTTTTTTACATTCCTCACAAGGACTGGCTGAGTCTTAAACACGGAAAAGTGAAGGTAGGGACTGCTGTGCAGAACTTACTTCGTCTGGTTTGTTCAAGGCATCATTTTGCCTTGGCTAGCGGTAGACCCTTTACTGGAGTTTCGAAACTATTCAAGCTCTTAGCCTGGGCACCACTGAATTATTTTTACTTCTAGAGTAGAAATGCTCAATGATCTAAAAGGCTAGAACAGATTTTTAAACAATAAACATACCAAAATAAATATATTGTCTTAAATATAAAACCACAGTGTCAAGAAGTCAACAGTTATAAAGCCAGAAACAATAACAACAAAATAAAACATCTACACCCCATCTTCATCATTCCTTTCTGCAGCTCTGCATCTTTGTTTCAGCTTTCCATGCTCAAACTCAACAACCTGTGCTAGCACCATTTGACACTTTGGTGGGCTATATGTATATAATGTCATCAACAGTTGCACATTTACACAATGTCTTTATAGGAACATATTTTAAACTTTTAAGGGAGGGCACTGATTCTGATTATATTTTGCTGGGGATTAATGAAATAATCAGCTGTATATTCGAGCTGTACATTATGCCTGTGTTTGTTTTAAATGCCTTTTAAATACAGACATTACTTCTTTGGAGCAAAGCCCCTCCTCTCCACCCCCGGACATGCTCTTGGGATCTCACGTCCATTTTAACAATAAGAAATTCTCCAAGAGCTCATACTCTTCCATGGGAAATAGCTTTCTTAGACTTTAGCCTCACATTGAACAGACTGTTGGGATTCACATCAAATGGCAGAACCATTTGCTTATTTTTACCATCTGTGGTTAAAAGATTGGAATGTTAAGTAAAAGTCTGTTTAAAACTGGGACAGAAGCTCTGGCCTCTTGGTTTATCTCCTGATTTTGATTTTATATAGATGATTGAATTTAACTTTTCAAAAGTGTCCACGAAATGTGTCTTAAATGCTCAACATGTTTGAATGTCTTTATCTCAGAAGTCTCATTTTACAAAGAAGAAAGAACAGATATGGGGAAGGAGACTAATGACTGGAGATATCAGACTGATCACAATTTATCCACACCATTTGAGATGAGAGCTACAAAACCTTAAAACTCCAATTGCTCCAGAAGACTCTGCTGATGTTTGCCCTACCATAGGTCTTAGTTGCCATCTTCACAAGTTTAAAATATTAGCTTATAAAAGGACTTGACATTGGGGGAAGGCAAATAAAGCCTGCTTCTTAATACACCATTACCACTTTAGAGAGACAGTGAAGACCGAGAGTATGGTCCATAAATAGGTTCAATTCTTCTGTTTAAATATTTTGATAAAACTAATAAAGAAGAAAAATTGCTCGTGCCCTTCTAGAAACACTCTCCCCTAGAGTATAAGTAGAGTAGATATCTGTATGCTGAATGTTCATTTGGAAGGAGAAAGCCCTTGAAACATGCTTTCTGTACCAAGTTTTCCTTAAAGAATAAAGACTTGAATTTCCGATTTCATCTCCTGCTTCTGTATTTTCAGCTTACATCATTCAGTTAGGATCACAAAGGGTCTTATTCTCGCAGACCAACAAATTCTCTAGCCGTATTTTTAGTTAAAATCTTTAGTTCTTCCCTCCCATTCACAGCATGTCCCAGTTGGGCAATAAGATGACAAAGTCACAGCTGGACAAGCCACAGAAATCCATGACACAGGAAACTGAGCTCTCTGAGGGGAGAGTCTCCATGTTGACAACATGGAGTCTTGTCAGTGAACTGAAAGATTTGCGTGGTAATTTGGCAAAGATCTTAGCCTGTAGCTTTTATGAATCGTTCCTATCGTAACATATTGTACTTCTCCACTCACAATCCCAGGAAGCAAGGTGCACTCCTGTGTTGGTGAGTGTCTATAGTGTCCAGTGTCTAGAGCCCTTGGGAATCTTCAGGTTCTGTGTGTTCTAGGAAAGATGCTGATGAATCATCTGTGGAAACAATGGTCCACAAGTCACTGAGCGTATGAGGCAACACAGAGACAACAACGAAGGAGAGGAATAAAAGCATTTAAGGCACCTACCTTTTGAAGGAGCCATTTCAATCTTTCTAGGAATTCCTTGGGAGTTTTTTTCTCATAAGAATCACAGGAAGGGCATTTCTGGAAGTCAAAATAAATAGATAAGCAAATAAAAAGTTACATTCTTTAAAAATTTTTCTGTCATAAAATACTTATGTAATATTTTTTCTTCTATTGAAAACATAAGTCAGGTTCAGTAACAAATGTTAGGAAAAAATTGTAAGATTGTTCTAGAATCCTTTTGTGATTTCACCCTCAGAGACAACTGTAATGTTTTGGTGTTTAAAATATGATATCCTTCTTGCTCCCTTTATTCTGGTTAACTTTGCATTCTTGTTACACTGGTTGATACATGCTGTTTGCTGTTATTTTATTTATTATTTTAGCTAGTTACAAGTATTTCCTAGGCACTAGATACGCTTTAAGTACAGGTGATGTGTCAGTCGTTTTGTTTTCCAACACAGAATGATACTCTCGTTATTTTTGGATATGGAAGCGGGTACAGAAGCTTTCCCCTCTTGTGTACAATTCTACGAAGAATATCCCTTCAGATAATAGTTCATATGTATCTCTGTTTGCTCTGATAAATTCCTAGAAGCTCATCAAGTAGAGCGAATTTTTTTGAGTGTTGCTTGCTTTCCTCCTTCCTTCTCGTTATTCTTCCCCACCCCTTTCTCCTTCAGTTTCATGCTTATTCCCCTTCTGATATCAAAACACCAGGCCATGTCTGGATGCTCAGTCACATGTTATTGCAGTGAGAACATCCTGTGGAAATACAGTAGCTGTGTTCTTCTTGACACAGATGTGTGTGAAACCTGGAGAAAGTCTGCCTTTTTAGATCTCACCTTCCTCACCCATAAATGAAGGCATTTAACCCCAAGCGTTGGGTTCCAGGTCTACACCAGACATTTCTTAAGTCCCTCCTTCCCTTCCTTATTTCCTTCCTTCCTCCCTGCTTCTTGCACAGGGTCTCACTCTCATAGCCCAGGCTGTCCTGGAACTCTCAATCCTCCTGCCTCAGCCTCCTGGGTGCAGGGCTCACAGGCATGCACTACCATCTCAGGCAGTTCCTTTCTTTGTGAAAGTTTCAGAGGGATATTTTCTCATAATAACCTGGGGGAACAATAAAAAGAAACCAGGCTCCTGTTCATAATGTAATTACTGTTTCATTATTTTCAGTCCATGTGGAATTTCTTGAAGGACAAGAAGACTGCTAAACAAAACAGAGCAACTTCTTTTATGCTATCTCTGCTGCTTTTGATTGATGCCTGAGTTACTCAATTCTTTACTCTCTGAATTGCAGCTGATTGGTCAAAGAAAAGATAGTTAAGAAAATTTAGAGTCCCAAATAAGGAACCTGGAAAACCTCTAGCCTCTTAAAAGGATGTTCCCCTTAAGTTCAATACTAACTCTGCTTTTGCCTGGAACAGTAATATTCTAATCTTGGCATCTTGTAGGCTATCTCTTTTCTTGTCAGAAAATTGGGATTGAGTACCTGATAATGATGATACAACTAATGCCAGCAATAAATAAAAGGAAGATATTCACTTCCAGCAGTTAGATTCTCTTCCTAATGGCTTCCTCACTCTGGAAACTTCCATTAATATACTGGGAATGGTAGCTAGTTCTATCTGGATTTCTAGACAGAATGTGAAGACTTGAGACATGACACCACTTCTTAAAATGTACCTTGTACAATGTGGAGTAACTCTTCAAGAAGGCATGAGGGGCTCTAGCTGTGTGTATGTGTGAAGCATAATATATTACAGTTAATAACTAAAAATAAGAAAACACACTGCAAACGAGAGATAACAAAGGACAATCTTACAACTATGCTCTTCTGCCTTCTCGCCCCCTTCGTGGTAGGCAGCCTCCTCCTCAGCTTTGAGGTTAAGTCATTGATGATCGTTTTATTGTTTCCTGTGTTTGCTGGCTTGAGTTTGGCCTTCTGAAAACAGGCAAAAGCTGAGTGTTCACAATGCTCCTGAAGGAGAGATAATTAGCGTATGTTAATAACCCGCCAGATAACTCATACATATTAATGTCCTAAGAGAGATCGTTAGCGTATTTTAATACCCCGAAAGAGAGATGATTATCATATGTTAATGAATGTCATTCCAAAGATTAAAAATGACTTTCCATACTTCAGTTTCTATTTGTACCATTTTAGACATTTGTTTTAGTGGCTGCCTTAGGTCTGGTCATATCTCCACTCAAACTCTGCAGAAGACAGAAGTTCCACTCAGACAGCTTCCATGTCTGGGGGGTGGGGGAAGAGGCCCCTTCTCACCCTTCACAAATTCCTATGACCACTGCTATGCATCTGCCATTCTGAGGTTAAAGTGGTGGGCATGAGCTTTGTGGGGTTGGATGTGAGTGTGCGTGTGCGTACGCACGCATGTGCATGTTTGTGTATGTTTGTGGGGAGTGAGGTCCCAGCACCATATATATACTAGGCAAGCAGTCTACCACTGAGCTAACAGATCAGAATTTCTAGCTGTGATGAAGAATTTAGTTTAAGAGCACAGTTGCTGAATTCTGAGGCTGAAAATTATGACCGTTGGCAACTTTGGGAAAGTAATCCAACGGTCTGGCTAAGAAGCTGCTTCACTGATGGTCATCTCTGCCCACTATGCACACAGGAGTCTTCAAGGGTGATGTACCTGCCTGGAGCAGGGTTCTAGTCTGTGCAGCACTTGCCACAGGCCTGGTCATCAGCAAGTACTCGGTTACTATTTGCAGAGTCAATCCATGAGGGGAATGGGTTAAGACCGCTACAGTTGCTCATTCTGAGAGTCATCCTTGTACATTTTGTGAAGCTCCAGCCACATCATGTCTGGGTAGAGCAGGGCTCCCCACGAATCAAGAGTCAAATCACAGAAGGTTAAGACTTGCTTAGCCAGTGCAAGAAGGGCCTCTTTTGCAGAGACTTGTCACAAAGACTGGAGAAGTAGAACGAAGGAGCAGCAAAGCCTCTTTGGTTTGGCCAAATAACTACGGGGCAGTGAAGAAGTCCAAATCTTGGCAATGGAATGCACTGGAAGGGCACACCAGGCAAGTGCTTCACCACGGAGTTAAAGCCTCGGCTCTGGAAGAGCAATAGCTGAAACTGGCTTAACTGATCCAAGAGCTCCTATCTGAATTTCTTGCGCCCACATTGCTGCTTCCTTTAGCAAATGTCTGCGTGGTGTTATTCATCCCCTGAAGTTGCCACAGCTTCATTTCACTGTTGTGCATGGAAGCCACTAGCTTCCAACCAAAGGCCTCCCTCCTTCCCAGCGAGGTTGCATCGCCTGAAGCTTCTCAGGGACAATCAGCTGAAAAAGCAGCCTGCTTTGCATTTTCCAACCCATACACTTGCCCGATGTTAATGTTGACTAATAACACAAGCCCATCAGCCTTGCTTTGCATAGGTAGCCGCAAGCCCAGCAGGCCTTATCTAGTTCCTTCTATCAGGGTAGCTTGCCTGTCACCAGGGCAAGGTGCCGGCCTTCCCATGTTTGCCAAAATGCTTATTTAATAGAAACTATTTATAAACGTTAATTATAGCACTTTTTTTTCCTTGAAAACCACATGTTCATGTTTGTTGAAGTTTTTTTCTTTTCTCTTCTCTTTGACCACAACCGGCTTAACTTACTGGAAAAAAATAATATTCATATTTAAAGAGGTAAATTTTCCAGCTGAAACTGAAAACGCTAACTGCTTCATCCGTGATGATCTGAGAAACCAGCATTTCTCACAGAGCCTCATTTTGCTGAGTTGACATTTTCATTTGTACACTGAAAGAAAATTAGGTTCCAAAGAAGCTTGGGGAGGGGCCCCAAGAGCAACCCCCCTGAGATTATCCTGCCAGGAATGCTCAGGACCAGCCACCAAAGCTTCACACCCAGGCTAGAAGACAGATATGATGTCAGCATGTGGACATGCCATTGTCCCCACCCGTCCCTGTCCACAACCGATGGACACTGGCCTTGGTTTGGTTTAGTCCTACAGGAAGCAGCCTGTCTCTGAAATGCGTGAGGAGGGACAAGAATCTTCAGGTTGGGTTTCAATGCACAGCAAATGCAGAAAAGCAGTAAGGCAGCCTGGCCTGCAACTCCTGAGGAATGGAGTTCATGGGGACCTGGAGGGAATAAAGAGCCTCGGGACTCCAGGGCTGGAGTCCCAGGACAGCTATGCCAAGTGCTCCTGGCTGCTTTCCTCAGCTGGGCCTCACTGGGGAATGTAAGGAATTTTCTAGAAGCTCATAACTTCTGCATAGAAGGTACAGTAAAGAAAGCAAGGAAAGGAGTTACAAAGTCAGCCCCCTCTTCAGCCAGAAAAGAGATTTTCATAAAAGGCGCGCCTGGCTTGCTGGCTCTGCAACTGGATAGCTTAAAAAAAAAAAAAAAAAAAAAAAAAGACTAATTTCTTAAAGCCTATTTCTGACCTGGTTATATTTTTTGTCTTTTTGGAAGGAATGTTGGCATTGACTATCTCAACAGCTGTGTTAGGTGACTTACCTTTGTCCAGCTCTAGTCACAGATGGAGGCTTTCTAATGGCACAATCACTGATGTATTGGACTGGGTAACTTTGCTGTCAGAATCATTCTACACATTCTAGAACATTCACTAGTATGCCCAGCCTTTAATGACCAGGTGCCGGTAGCACTCTCAAGCCATCCCCAATGGTGCCAAGCAAAGTTTCCTCACATACTGTCAAGTGCCTACCCATGGAGGGGCAGCAAAGCCCTGGATAGATGAGAAAAGGAAGGACAAAGGAGGGGAGCCCTTTGCAGAGCTCAGTAGTTCTGTAGAATTTGTTACAGGTCCTACTTTGGATGCTAGCTCTGAGAACTTGATATGCAGCTTCTGTTGCCCTTGCTGCCTTCCTCTGTCTTGAGTTTGCCTGCCAGAGTAGTTTGGAGATGTTAGTTAGAGCTGTACGATTGCTTCATAGGCAGTGCTGCCTAATCAGATCATCAGAAAGATGCAAGCTCACTGAGACATAGTTTCATAGAGATGTGAGATTTTTGAAAATCCTTCAGTAGAAGATGGATCACTAGAGGCTAGACAGGGGGCAGAGGGAGAGGACAGAGGGTGAACAAAAGGAATGCACATATACAATCACAGACATACAGTCACTTTGTATAAGTAGTGTGTATTAGCAATGCAATAGTGACAAACATTAAAGTGGTCACCAGAAAATTCAGACTTAAAAAGACATCTTTCACTAAAAAAACATATATAAGAAGGAGTCATTGGGTCGACCCAGCTGAAAATGAGGGATTTTCCTATTTTTTTTCTTTTTCTTTTTTTCTTTCTTTTTTTTTTTTTTTTTTTACTTTGCAAAGTGTAGACTGCAGGTAGGAAACCCCAGAAAGAACTCTACCCACAGCAGTCAACACAGTGCATGAGATGCTGAGAAACAGACATGTTAAGAAGAATTTTTGCTTATTGGAAATGTCTCTCCAATGAGTTAAATGTATTACTTTCATTTTAGCTGCTGCTTATTAGGAAGGACCTAGAAAACACAAGAGTGGTCATGCTCAGGGCTAGAGCAAAAGTGAATTGCAGAGCAGAGCTGAAGCTGTGACTCATCCACTCTCTAAATTTTTACACTGTCATTTACCATAATTCTTTTCTTTGAATGTGTCTGTGTGGTGCCCTAATTACTGGCAACACTTTCCTGGTTTTCCTAAGTCATGCAGTTAAAGGTCTAGCAGGACGAGCATTTCCCCATTCATTCAGAATGTTAAGGTACCAAACAGAAGACCAGATCAAAGAAGTTCTTGGAGGGAAATTGGCAGAAGCCCCTCTGCACTGCATGCCTAGCCTCTTCTCCACAGGACTGGAATATGAATGGTGCAAGAGTTGGAATGAGCTGTTGAAAATGGTCCCTTTGGAAGACCTCGCCAAGAGCTAAAGACAAGAAGACTCAAAAGGCCAAGGTACATGGGTTACATGCAGAGACTTTTGATTTCCACATTCTGTCTCTGTACCTTCCTTGCAATCTAATTCTTTCTTTCTTTTTAAAGATTTGTTATTAAAATGCAAATGTTACCTCTTATCTTAAATATGGTGACAAAGAAAGTTGCAGAGCTCTCAGGCCCAGGGCTCTGAAAACATGAGTAACTGTTTCTTGTTCAGAAACTGATCCCAGCACAGATTTTTATCCTTGTTGGTTTGTCTTAGTAACACTACCTAGGAGTATTCTTAGAGGCTTTAGGATGTAAACATGCATTCTATACGAACGCAATATGGTATGTCATTGTTTGGGTTGCTAGTAAATCTTTGGATACATAGCCAAAACGGAAAAGAATATTTTATCAATTATTAATCCCCAAAGTCATTGAAAAGAAACATAATCTAAATCATCATTCTAGAGCTTTGTTAGACTTTAAAGTTTACACAAGATATATTTTCAAAGTCAATTCAGCTGATCTTACCTTTACATCTTGTGGAGCTGGCAGAAGTTCAGGATCCTAGCCAAAGAGAATTAGTTCTGAGTTAGTGATAGAAGTCAAAAGGCTCCTTTCACATCCATTAAAAAATATTAATTAAATTTCAGTGAGAAACATGGCCTTACCAAGTCATTCACATAAATTTTCAGCTGTTCAACAATGTCTATAAGGTGACGAAGTCTAATCAGGAGGCGATCTGGCCCTTGCGGGCTTGTTTTATGGGCCACTGTCCCCAAGAAGATGACTATCAGACAGATAAGGGTCCTCTCCATGCCACCAGAACTGGGTCTCCAACTACAGATGAGCAGAACCTGGGGCTGGTTTTCACTTCAGCCTGAATGTGGACAGGTTGTCTGTACAGCTACCTATTTATTCATCCCTCAAGGAGAGGCAAAGCCCTCCCATTGCAGCCTGGAAATCTTCGTACAGTGGATGAGTGTGAGTAAGTCGTTTTTCTTTTCCATTGGCTAGGTGTACGTGTGCGTGTGGGGGCAGGGATGGACAGAGTCCACAAAATGTGCCCCATCTGCATCTTAGACAGGAAAAAGAGAGATGTGGTGAATTCCAGTTTTCAGCATTCACCAAGAAGTGTGTGTGTGTGTGTGTGTGTGTGTGTGTGTGTGTGTGTGTGTGTGTGTGGTGTCACACAGGAGGCACTGCCAGATTTTCAGAGAAGTAAACACAAACACTTTGATCCCCAACACCTTACCTGGTTTGTCTGACAGTCATAAAGACACTTGCACAATGAGTAAAGAGCCATGCCCTTTATTGCAGGAACTTTTCATAGGGTAATGACTATAACTCTTGACTGAACCATCCTGTATTCCATTGCAAAAATGTACAAGGTTAACTTTTAGGGAAAATTAAGTGATCAGGTAATTTTCTAACTACCAAGAACATTTTAGACCCCATCAGGTTTCAGGGTTTTAAAACAGGATTTGCCTCTGGTTTTCACCAATGCATCTTTAAGTAACACTGATGGTGCTTCCTGACACTTGATATAATAATCTGGTTTGAAAATATAATAAACTGCTTGATGAACTCTGTAGAAAGTGTACTCTCCATCAAGGCATTACTCTATCTTTATTAAAAGAAGGAACCCACAAATTCTATAGTGTCAATTGCTTGTATTTAATGCATCTATTAAACAAGTGAAAAGGGCAAATGCTCCTTTCTTTCCAAGTTAAAAAAAATACCTTCAAACACCAACAGCAGACGTATTTCTGCTAGACATTGTCCCCACTAGGTCTAAGCAGCGTGCTTCTAACTGCATTTGTGACCAGGTAGAGGCTGATAAAAGGTTCAGAGGCCAGAAGTGGTTCGTAGCACCTGCCTCCTCTGCAGTTCTTGTCCTGTGACCCTTCACCCATTGGAAAAAGTTGAGTATAATACTCTAGCTCAACAGATGTTTAAGCCACAGTCAGGTATGTCTTACAAATAAACCTCTGCATTCCAGAATGTTTTGCTACCAACATGAGAGTTTGTACCTGATTCGCTTTGAAGGTTGGACTGTGGAGTTTTTATCAGAGAATAGCTATGATCTTAGGCAAGAGATGAACATTCTTACAGTATGATGAAGAGGTGCTTCCTATAATCATTAAATCCCTCAAGAGAAGTTGCTGTGTGTAAACTTATTAACCAATAAGAACTAAGGCTCTCCACATGGTGCACCCCATTGCTTTGCCCACATGGTCTTTTCTACATGTTTTCTTGATGCACCTACATGAGTGTCCATTCCTGAATACACTATCCATGTGATTAAGAAATCATTTTAAAAAGCAGAGTTCCTGAGTTCAAATCTAGACTCTACTAATGAATTGCCAAATGACCAGGCATGTTCTGGTGAAGGGAAAATAGGAGCTTTAAAGGCTTACAAGGCAGAGGAAAGGGCTGGGTATAACACATGATAAAGTCCCAGGACAATGACTGATCCTGGATGAGTATAGAAAGGATGTAGACACCCACAGAAAGAAGGGCTAGATCAATGTTATGTCACACGCATAGAGTGGCTTTAGTGGTGGTAAAAGCATCTGAAGTCATGCTGCCCATGACTGTTCTTGATCTCGATGCAAACCCTCCATCCTAGCCCTTGCTACAAGCTGCCCATCAAGAGCAAGTCTCAAGAACCCTGCCCTGCATCCTTCCCCTGCCTCAGACCTTCCCATGGGATTCCCTACAGAAAGTTCTGCAGAACTGAATATGTTGGCATCATGGGACTCACGGGAAGGAAGGCAAAGGGTCAAGATCAAAGTAGATGTGATGACAAGCACAGGCTGGTGTGGCACACAGGTCAGAGTCATGGGAGACTAGTGTCCCCGGAGACCGGGAAAACCAAGGTATAGACCAACTTTAGAGCAGTAATTCTCAACCTATGGATGACAAGGGGTTGCCCCAAACCATCAGAAAACACAAAATATTTACAATAAAATAATAATGGTAGCAAAATTAGTTATAAAGTAGCAACAAAAATAATTGTAAAGTCGGGGGTCACCACATGGGGAACTGTGTTAAATGGTCACAGCATTAGGAAGGTTGAGAACTGCTGGAGTAGAGCACTCAGAAGGCATGAGCCCCTCCATGGTTGACTTTGTTCTGTCAGCTCAGTTTGCACTCCCAACCATTTGAACTGCAAGATACTTTGGTTTGGGTTTTGTTGTCGTTTTATTTTAGTTTGGCTTGCAACATGGCATTGTTTTGTCTCTTTTAATGAAAATGATTTCCCCCCTCATATTATATATCCTGATTATGGTTTCCCTTCCCTTTACTCCTCCCAGTTCCTCCCAACATCCCCTCCCATCCAGATATACCCCATTTCTGTCTCTTATTAGAAAACAATCAGGCAGCCAGGTGTTAGTGGTGCCCACCTTTAATCCAAGCACTCAGTAAGCAGAGGAAGGCAGATCTCTGTGAGTTTGAGGCCAGCCTAGTATACACAGCAAGTTCTAGGACAGGCTCCAAAATAATAATAAAAAAAAACCCTGTCTCAAACAAACAAATGAACAAACAAAAAGAAAACAAAAAAAAGAAAGAAAAAGAAAACGAAACAAAAATTTAATAAAATTTAATAAGATAAAACAAAGCTAACACATCAGAATAGGACAAAACAGGAGAGCCCCCCAATAGGCACAAGAAACAAATACACACAAAGACCCACTTGTTTGCGCACTCAGCAATCCCATGAAACACTAAACTAGAAACCATAATTTGTACACAAAGGACCTCTAGGGTAAAAAGAGAGGGAAAATAATAATGATATAAGTAAAAGATAAAATTAAAAATAAAGAAAAGCTGGGATACAACATTATGAGTCAAGGAACCTCCAGAGATACCATTGAGTTCATTTCTGCTGGCCATCTACTGGGCATGCAGCCTGCCCTTCAGAGTAGTTTGTTTCCCCAGTGAGACTCCCTTAGAGGAAAGTTAATTTTCATTTGCAAGTGGTTATCAATTGGAGATGGCTCCTGGATTAAGGATGGGGGCATGTGTCCACTTTTCCTTTCAGCCCTAGAACCTCCATCTGGTACAGACCCATGCAGGCCCTGTGCATGCTACCTAAGCCTCTGAATTCATATGTGTGTGTCCTGTTAATTTATGGGGCCATATTTCCTTGCTGTCCTCCATCTCCTCTAGCTTTTACATTCGTCCTACATCCTCTTCTGAAAGGTATCCTGAGTCCTAAGGGAGGGTCTGCTGATATCGATATCCCATTTAGAGCTTTGTTCCAAGACCTCTCGTTGTCTGCATATTGTCTGACTTTAAATGTCTGCATTTGTTTTGCCATAGGAAGAAGCTTCTCTGATGATGGCTGGACAGGGCACTGATGTATGAGTATAGCAGAATGCCACTGGGAGTCATTTTAATTTTTTTTTTTTTTGGTTTGTTTTCAGAATAGTAGTATTATGTTTGTTTTACTCCAGGTACCTGGGCTATCTAGTCTCTGGTTCATGACACCCAAGCAGTATCAGGAATGGGTTTAATCTCCTGAAGTGGGGCTTATGTTAAATCAGAAATTGGCTGGTTATCCCTATAAGATTGGCGCCATTATTTCACTGGCATATCTTGTAGGCAGGACACCATTGCAGATCAAAGTGTTCGTGGCTGGGTTGGTGTTTATGTTTATCCTTTGGTAGCATGCAGAGTACCTTCCTGTACCAAAGACACTAACACATGGGAGTGAAGCTTCTGTGTAGGCACCAGATCAGCTTCTCCATGTTCAAAGAGTTATATAGGTGTTGTCTTCCGCAATGGAGCATTGCTTTCAGAGAGCAAACTTAGCAACAGCCTGGATTGTTTGGGACTTCTCATGGGATTCTTTTAGCCAACAACTCAAATAGATGAAATCAACAGTCCCCATACTGGAAGCTTAGTGACAAGAGATATCCAGCTGGGTTTCTATCTCTCATTATTTGGCCATTCATTTAGATCTCCTTCATCTATGTATATATTTTAGGAAGCATCTACTTTATTTTCCATACTATCCCTCAAATGGTCCTTAATTTCAGCTGTCTCTTCCCATATTCCCTCTATCACTCCCCTTTTTCCTGTCCCTCCCCAGTTGATCTTCCCATCCCAGGCACCTTGCATCCATTCATAGACACACATTCTATTTTTCTTTCCTAGGGAAATCCGTATGACCTCCACTAGTCCCTTACTCTACACCTAATGTCTGTGGTTCTACAGACTGTAATTTAGTTATCATTGACTTAACGGCTAAATCCATATATAAGCGAATTCATATCGCATTTGTCTTTCTGGGTCTGGGTTACCTCATTCAGGATCATTTTCTAGTTCCATCTGTTTACTTGCAAATTTTATGATTTTGTTCTGTTTGATATTCCATTGTATGAACATTCCACGTTTCTTTATCAATTAATCTACTAAGAGACATCTAGGTTGTTTCCAGTTTCTGGCTATTCTGAATAGAGCAGTAATGACCATGGTTGAACAAGTATCTCTATGGTAGAATGAAGCATCCTTTGGGTATATGGCCAAGAGTGATAGATAGAGCCAGACTTGAGGTAGATCAATTCCCATCTCCTGAGGAGTGGACACACTGATCTCCACAGTGGCTGTATAAAGTTGCACACTCACCAGCAATAGGTAAGAAATCTTTTTCTATACCCTCACCAGCATGAGCTGTCACTTATTTTATTGATCTTTGCCTTTCTGATGAGTCTAAGGTGAAATCTCAGAGCAGTTTGATTTGCATTTCCCGGATGACAAAGGGTGCTGAATATTTCTTTTTGTTTTTGGTTTTTATTTTATTTAAATT